TGTACCACTCACAAGCTGGCAGATCGCCCCTGCAAATTGAGGGTGGTCATGTGGGTGCCAGAAGCCCTGTGGTGAGAGTGAAGTGTGAACAGGATTTCCCCAGGAGCCCCTTAAATGTGAGTCTGAAAGGCAAGTGTCCAAATCCCCAACTTTCTGAGAGGAGGCTTTCAGGACAAGAAGACTTAGGGATGCTTATGGGTTAAAGACAGCGAACAGAAGTTAGCAGAGGGACTGTGTGACTTCTTTTCTAAGGGCTCTGGAGAGACTCGAGCGGGACCCCTGGGGATCCCAGTGCCTGTCTCACACACTGTGTCTCCTCTCCCTAAACACTGTGGCAGGGAGACAGCTGTTCTTTATAAGTACTGAGCTTCCCAGCCACCGCCAGTGATGATTTCCACAGGCGTCGCCCTGAGTGACTGCTGTCTTGGGATCTGGGTCACGTGCCCGCACACCCAGCAGCAGCCCACACCCCACAGTGCCCTGTGTGTGCAGCACATAGACCAGCCTGTGCTCACATGGCACTGGGTGCTGTGCCTCTGCAGGCCCCTCCCCAGTGGTGGTTCTCCAAGAATCAGGGACGTCAGCTCCCCTCTGGAGTTCTATCTTACGGGAAGTCCTTGCCATCAGCTGAGGAATTGAAAAGGTGGCTCACTCCCCCTCTTCTGACCGTATGCTGGGCTGGCTGCTCTGGATGCCCCAGCCTCTGGCCTCTCCTCTCAGCGAAGGACTTCACTGTCTACATTCTTAGTGTCAGAGCTCAGCAGGGATGACCATGGGCCCAAGGACAGACTCTTCTGACCTTGGCCCATGTGACAAGGTTGAGGAAATTTCCTCTCTGGTGAAGTTTTTCCATAGAGTCTGAACCCTCACCCAGAGCTACCAGGGATAAACCTCCTCCCCTTGGTCCCCATCTGCACACAGCAGCCAGGGGACATAAAGTCACCAAGGGCCACGCAGGCAGAAAGGAGACCCAGCAGGAGGCTTCCCTCTCCCAAGTCCCTGCCTTGGCCAGCTCCCAGGCTGGGGTCTGAGGACAGGACAAAGTGCCCAGCAGAGGCCTAGTCCTCTCATGGACCCTATCCAGAAGGAAAGGCCTCTCTCTATTCTCTGCCTGCCTTTCCAGCCACGAACTCTTACAGGAAAATCCCAGCTCCTCCTTTCAGATCCGTGAGCCTCTGCCTCCCTCTTCTGGTGAAGCGTGAGGAGGAGCCAGCCACCCTGCATGGAGAGCTGGGCCTCTGAGGCAGAAGTATTCACAGCCCTTGGTCCCCCTCACCATCCCCAGCCCCTGCACTGGGCACCACAGGACTCCATGGGAGTATGGCCAGCATGGGCTCCTTCATGGTCCCAGCAAATATGCAAGGGGCAGTATGGTCTCCCTGGGGCTCAGCAAGTGCAAGGCCTCTCGCATGGGTCACAGGGTGCCCTCCTCAGAGAGCAAAGAGACAACTGCACTGGGTCCCTGGAAAAACTTGCTCTGCTTGTCACTTGTCAAGACACATTCCTGGGATGCTGCCTAATGTAATGAGATATTGAAATGGGGTTCTTTCTGCTGTAACCCTGAAAGTTAAGTGTAAACAGTAGGTGCCAACCATCTGCTCCTTAGAGAACAGTGTACTGGGCAGGTGGCAGCCTAGCAAAGGCCAAGGTCTAGAAGTCACAAGCCCACCTCCTGGGGCTTTGTTCTCTCTTAAGCTAAGTGGAGGGTTTCCCAGGGCCCTGCACGTACTGTGTGTCATCCTATAAGCTTCCTCACCCCCTGAGGAAGATCACATTGCCACCCCCAGATAGCAGAGGAAATTCAATTGCTGTCCCAAGCTGGAAAGGGACGAGGCGGGTCCTGCATACCTGGCACCACATGCACGAGCAGGGAGCTTGCTGCAGAGCAAGAACAGCTCTGGGAAGGGAGGGGACTTTGTTCCCAGTGGCATACCTGGAGTGTGACCTGCAGCGCCACAGCTGCAATCAGAGAAAAGCCAGTGCTCCATCATGCAAAACGGCATGGTTGCGTTGTCGGGCACTTACATGTGGCAGAAAAAAACAACCCCAAAACCTAAGCAGTCTTCCCTTTTGCTTTCTCTCTAATATTCTCTATTAGTTACTTTTATTTTTATTTTTGCAGTACCAAGGATCAAACTCAAGACCTTGCCCTTGCCAGGCAGGTGCTTATACTGCTGAGCTATCTCCCCAGCCATCAATATATTTTCATTCCCCTCCAAGACAGTGACAGCTCCAGAGTGGGGGAACCCAAGTGTCCCCCACACCCATTCTCCACATCTTCCTTCCCAGTGTTTGAACACTGGCAGTCTGGCTGCTCATAAATTGGTTTCAGTGAAAATTCCAAGGCCCTGACTCTTGGCAGGCTCAGAGAGACCACAGGAGCAAGCCCTGAGCAAGGAGCCGGGAGTTGAAAGGCTGCAGGCTCCGTGCAGGCTGTGAACCAAGAGCAGGTCCGTCCCATCACTTCCTCCTGGACATGGAGGCGGATGTGGGGCAGTGGAGCAACACCCCTGAAGTGCGGAAGATTCTGCAGGCAACCTAAAGGAATCAGCGAGTCAGAGTTTGGGCCGCAGCAAGATTCACTTTTGTTGCTTTGTTTTATAGGAATGGACTTGATCATAGAATTACATTCATCGGCTTTTTAAAATTTTATGTTTGAGACAAGGTCTCGCTAAGTCACTAAGTTGTCCAAGCTGGGCTTGAAATTACAGTCCTCCTGCCTCGGTCTCCCAGAGTACTGGACTCCGGGCATGTGCCACCGTGCCCAGCTACCCCAACATTCATTTTTAGATGTGTGCAGAGCGGCTTCCACGGCCCCAGCATTTATGCCTTAGGTGAGATAAGCTATCAGAGGCTACCAGAAAGTCCGGGCTCTTATCTACTAATTGAGTCACGTGCAGCCGAGGATTCCAGGGGAGGAGCAGAATGAATGATTTGCAAGCACTGGAATTTTTTTTTCTTCTTCTTGGAGGGCTTTTTATGCAACTTTTAAGAACTGTTTTATTCACCATGTAGCTCTTAATCTCAACCCATGGTCCACACCAATCATGTTCCCAGTAGGACCCTTTGGGGCAGTTCTTCAGGGTTGAGGCAGAAGCCAAGGACAAAGGTGTCACTTGTACCCTCCTGACAGTGGTACCACTTATGGACAGACAATCTTTTGTTGTAGGGAGCTCTGTGTGTTATAGGTCACCCTTGACCTCCACCTGCTAGATGCCAGTAGCAACCCTCACCCCCCACCCCAATCAAGACAACCAAAAATGACTCCAGACACTTCCCTGTGTCCCCTAAGGAACAAAATTCATCCCCTGGTTGGGAATCACTAAGTGAATCAGTGGGGCGAGGAGTTCTGATCTCAGGCACCCTGCCAGGCCTAGCGCAGTGCTGAGCACATGAAAGGGGGGTCAGTGAGTAAATGCACGCTAGATGCGTACTTGGGAGGAGAGGTGGAAGGGGCAGCCAACGGCTACACCTCTGGAAGTACCTGCCAGCCGCGTACAACAGACACAAAAATGGTGTTCAGAGCACCCAACGCGGATAGACTGACGATGTCACCACTGTGGCACATGACCCACCAGCATGTCCTTGCCGGCACATCCCCAAGGGCTCCAGCTGGTGACCACGCATGGCAGTGATGTCACTGCAGGGCCAGTGACTGGCTCAGTATGCCTATGAGATGACCCTCCCACAGCTCCTTGAAACTGCTGCCACCAACGACTTTCCTGGTCTCTACCTCCATCCCCTGAGGTCAGACCTGCACCTGGGTTCCCACCCACTGTCCTCTGCAAGTGTTGCCCCGACACGCCTCACTTCGGGGCCTAGTTCTTGGAGGATCTGACACTCTTAAGTGTGCCTTCCCCAAGAGGGGCCCCAGGTAGCAAAAGCATCACCCCCAACCCCATCTGGACAGGGATGGAGAGCTCTTGGGAGGCCTCAATATCCCTGTGTCACAAAGTCAAGAAGATGGAGATTCAGCTCCTGAATAATTGCTAACAGTCCAACCCAGGAAACTTCCAATTCACCTTTTATTGGTAGTAAGGCAGCAAGGGACTTCTGGTCCACATGCTTTTCTGGCCAAGCAAGGGAAAGTCAGTGGAAGGGAAGGGGTGGCCCCTGGGAGCCAGCTGGAGTGCGTGTCCCCGTACCCTATCCGTTCATCTCATCAGCCTCCAACTTCACATCAATGCACTTCGGCTTGACATCAAGTGTACCCCACGGCCCTGTCTGGTAGTGTTCACCAGGAGTATCTCCTGGCCAGGAGCATAGCTCAGCCTGCCTTTCCCGAGGCCAGGCTCTCCCAGGGGCAGATGACCTCCTTCTCTGTGTCCCGGTCCCCAGATTCTCCTGTCCCTGTGTCATCTGAATCCATCAAGAAGGGCCCAATGTCTGTAGGCACGTCCATTTTGATCTGGAAAAAGCTTCAGACACACAAAAAAGCAAGCAATGAAAGTACAGAAAGACAGCGAACCCCCAAAGAACCCCAACAGCCCCAAGGAGGAAAACTAGCACGCCACAGACATTTCCCAAAGTTTGGGGGTGCAGCCATGGGCTCCGGGGATCCCCTTGCTGGGGAGTCCTACTTTGCTGCTAAGTTAAAGACAATTCTGAATGAGCTTTATTATTATTTTTGAAGGGCTTGAATGTGTAGGATTTTGAGGAATTTGGGATGCTCCTGTAGGACATAGCAGTACATAACCCTCAACCCCTTTGAACTGCCTTCTCAAAACTTGGCAGCCCCTGGGAAAAGAGTGTTTTAAAGCCCTGTGCCCATGTGTCAGGTGTGACAGTGGCCGCCAAGCTGCCCCATGCCCTCGGCAAGGGCAGTGGAGACGATCAGCCGGCATCCTCTCACAGAGCCAGCCTCCCTCTTGCTCCCCCTCGTGATGGACCCAGGGCCAGGTCTTCCATGCACACAGCACGGCAAAGGCCACACACCCTGAGTGTCCCTGGCAACCTCCCTTCTCCAAGCACAGAAGCAGGGTTCATTGATTCCGAGGTGCCTGTGACTGTCTCCCTAAATCTTATCAGGCCCAGGCTAGTCCCTGGTTTTGCACTGTCTGCAATTTTGCTCTCTGCCACTGGTGCAGACATTAGCAGGCCTCCCCTGGGCCTCGCCTCTGGTCCTGGTGGCCTGTGTCAGAACACATGGGCTTCTCAGAGGCCAGGCTTGCAGGGCCACCTGAAGTGGAGAGTATACAGAGGCCACTGCTCAAGGCAAACGCTGGGCACTGTCATTGTCCCAGAAACCACCGCCGCAACAAGAATCCCTCCAGTTCCTCCGAGGGAGTGTGTGCTGGATACAGCAGGGGGTGGGCAGGTGTCCTTGGAGACCGGAAGTAAGGGCACCTCGGCAATGGGAAGTAAGGGCACCTAGGAGACCGGAAGTAAGGGCACCTCAGAGGAAGGTGGGGGCAGAGGCGGCTGGAATTCGCCTTAGGATTTCACCACATCCGGTCCCCACGGCAGCTACCAATCTTTCCTGCCCCCTTACAAATGCCACAATGCGTTAGACTGGTAGGCCCGGGAGGGGGGCGCAGAAGGGAAGAGCAGGGACAGGGAATTAACAGTGAGAAGAAAAGACACCTGTGCCTTTCTCCGCCTTCTCAGGAAGACAGAGGGCAGGACGGTTTCAGGAGGCTTCCCAGCGAACTGGAGCCGGGAGCAGCCCGGTCATGGTCGCCTTCTCCAGGGTTCTCCTCGTGGCCCACTGAGGCCAACCCCCGACCACACACCCACACCACAGACCAGAGATTCAGGCCCCCAGCCACGCGTGCAGCTCCAGCTCCTGGGTGCTTACTTGGTCACTCGCTTGGGCTTCAGCCTCGGCAGCTGCTGGCCCACATCGCCCAGGGGCTGCACCTTGCCGTGGGACACAGCAGGGCACTTGGGGGACAGGCGGGCGAAGACCGGCGAGGACAGGCAGCCCCGCCTCAGGAACCTGCTGAAGGACAGGGCCGACCGGGCCTTGCTGGGGGCCCCGGGTCGGTCAGTGCTGGAGGCCTCGCAGCCCTCGGGAGCCAGGGGCCCGCGGGGGGCTCCGGACCAGCCGGCCTCCGCTTTGGGCTCCGTGCCCGAGGAGCTCTCCAGGGCCCCCTGAAGGGGTGCCGGGCACATGGCGTTGCTGGGCCTCCGGATGAAGCGGCTGGGCGAAGCGAAGGGCCTCCGCGGGGAGCGGCAGGATGGGGAGAGGGGCCCAGAAGGAGAAGGTGGCACGCAGGTCCCGGTGTACACGGCCAGGTGGGGGCTGGGAGCCAGGTGCTGGCCGGGCTGCGGTGGAGAGAAGAGCGCGGGGCAGTGAGGTACAGTCCTGGCTGCTGGCCGCGGGGCCTCTGCTAACTCAGCCCCTTCTGCAGGGGACCCACAGCTCTCAAGTTGAGTCAAGGTTCCCATCCCGCCCTGGAGCGAGACTGTGAGCAAACGCCCGGCTCTTTCCTGCTCACCGCCGGAAGCCCTAGGGCTGATGACGGCTGTGGCCGCTGGCCGGGCAAGGTAAGACCCGCTGGAGATGACAAGAACCTCGGGGAGCTACAGTTTCCTCACTGGCCTGTCTCCTCCTTGGCCTTGCAAGAAGGCTTTGTTCTTCCTCCTAGCCTCCCCCGTGGTCACCATCCCTGTTCCTGGAAACACCCACTGCCCGGCGTTCACTGTCCTTGACCCAGACCTAAGGAATAAATGCCAAGGTTCTGGCTGGCCCCAGCCCTTGGTTCTCCGAGAACTGGCCATCCCAGATCCCTACCTGCACCCTATTTCATCTTTTGCTCTTTCTTTTCCGCTGTGTGCCATAACCCAGGCAGGAGACTGGGGGCTCACTTCAGGTACCCTAACACCCTTGCCACCCAGGCCTGGTAGCATTACCTCCTGGGGAGCTGAGCAGGGTTCCCAAGGTCACGTGTGACAATGGCACAGCCATTCAGAGAGCTCATCCCAGGTTGTCCCTCCACCTGTCTGCCCCTGAGTCCTGGCCAGGCCTCCTTGGCAAGACAGCGGTACCCCAGGACACAAACCATCTTCCCTCTAGGCCTGGGGTGCGGGAGTGAGCCAGGATGAATTCTCAGTCATCCTTCATTTCCCAAATGAGAAAAAGCTGATCCACCCCCAGCCCCAACCCTTGCCATTCCCATCTCCATCCTTGACCTCAACCTCTGGCCCGGAGAATTCAACACTTTGACAGAACCAGCGAAATGGCACAAGTTGTCCCAGCTTGGGCCTTACTGCCTCTTGCAGCCTGGGACCTTATCTCATACTGAAACCTTCCCTGGCCCACACGACCACAGCTACTGAGGCACCTTGAGGGGAGCCTCAGCATGATGGCCAGAGAAAGCAGGCAGTACAGGGCCAAGAGTGGCCCAATGGATGAAGGACAAGGACCTTGGCCTCCCTGGGTTGCTGTGGCCCAGCACCTAAGTGTTCAGGCAGGCTGGTAGATGTGGCAACTTAGCTCAGAGAGCCTGAAGAAACTTTGTCCAAGCCACCAAAAGAAAGTAGGATCGGGACTCCCCATAAGGCTCTTCCCTCTGCAGCAGATGTAGCCCAGTGGCTTCAACTCACTGAGTTCCCTTTGTAAAAGCCTGCTGCAGCCACATACCATGTCAAAGTCTGGCACAGATAGAGGGTCTAGGGTAGATGAGGGTCAGGGGCAGTTGGATCAATGCTACTATTGAGATGGAACTGCTGCAAACAGACCTCTGAGACGTCCTGCTTGGAGGCCTCCATGTGCCCCCACCCCAGCCAAGCTCTGCCCTGAGGCTGAGGGAAGAGGCCAGCTCTGGCCAGGGAAGCCTGGCTTCTAAGACATCTGAGGGACCAGGCTCAGACTGAACAAGAGATGCAGGTGCACCAAGAAGTGTCTTTGGAGAGGACAAGGCCAGTGCCCACAGGGGCTGAGCAGTCCGGGTGGGATGAGTGGGACCTCCGTGCTTTAGGTGGGCTCCCTGGAGTTCAGACGCAAGCCCATTCCCAAGAGCAGCTGCGGCTACTGCTCGGCTGCCCAGATTCCCACAGGTGGGGAGTCCCAGCCAAGCCCCAGGCTGCTGGGTGCTACACTAGTAACAATGATTATTTTTGGAAATGCACAGCAAAGGCTTAGCAGATGCAAGGTGCCGGACCAAGCACTTCGCTCATGATCATGGATAACTGCAGTCAGCCCCCAGGACTTCTTGGTGAAGCAGCTCAACACTGTCCCCATCCCACGGAAGGGTAGGCTCATTTTCTGAGAAGCCAAGGAACTGCGTGTCTGGAAAGGCTCCCTTGACATCAAACTCGCTAACACACATTGGGGTGTACACCCACTGGTCGGGTGTCCCTGGGTGACCTACAGAGCAGCCACATCGGATTCTCCAGGGTGCTGGTTACCAATGTAGATGCTAGCCCCACCCCGCCCCACTAAAGAGGACTCTGGATTGGAGGGTGCTCAGGACCCACGTTCTGACTGACACACCAGGTGACCTGTAAGCTTCTAACAGCCCTTCCCTTCTGCAGCTCCAGGTGGAACCCACTCTCCCAAGAAGCACTCCAGGAGAGAAAGCTGGACCCAGATGAAATGCAATGACTGAGGCATGCACTGAGCATCTACTTGACATGCCAGATGCTCTAAGCTACACTCCCAAAATTGAGGCCCAGCCATCCATTACCTCCCGGGCTCTAGGTACCTTTACTGTAGCAGGTAGAAATCTAAGAAGGTCCTGGGGTGCTCACCCCTGCCCTTGAGTCTTGGTGAGAACTGTCAGGACAGTCACTCCCAAGGTCAGCTTTTCCAAGAGGACAGTGTCTGGTAAGCTTGGCCTCATCACGCGAGCCCCTTTGAATCTGTGTCTAGAAGCTAGGGACAGAAGTCAGAGAGACGCACATGGCAGAGATTCAGGGAGGCAAAGCTTCTCTGTGGCTGGACTAGAATGTGGCGAGGCCTGTGGGTGGTTCGTGGAGGAAGAGCAGTCTGCACTGACAGCCACCCCAGAAATAGATGTGAGTTCCTGCACCCAGGACTGGGGTCCTGCCTATGACCCCTTGTGCTAAGTATGCGGTCAGCCTGGCCAATCTCCTGCACATGACCTTAGGAACTGAGTTCCTATATATGACAAAAGTTTGTGTCCCTTTCGAATTCATACATTCTGAAGTCTCCCCACCCCAAGCTGATGGTATCAGGAGTGGGGCCTTTGGGAAAGGATTAGCAACAGGACTGAGTCCCTCGTGAAAGAACCCAGACAGCTTCCTCAGCTCTCCCAAGTAAGGACACAATGAGAAAGCCTTACGTCTGAACAGAAAGTGGTCCCTCGGAGTCTAAATCTCCCAGTGCCTTGACGGCATGGGTTTCCCTGCTTGGAAGCCCAAGGAGCTCTGGACTCAGCTCTACCAGTCCTTCCCTTCTACAGCAGGGCGTAATTCTACCTGGGGACCACACTCCAAGAATCGTAGCAATGGTGCAGCAGGGCTGGGGGGCAGAGGAGCGTGTGGAAGACGTGTCAGGTGAAATAGGGTGACAGCATAATGGAGCACACGCCTCCTCCACAGGCCAGACACTGTGAATCTATAACCACCCCATTCTAGGAATCAGAAAATTAAGGCCCAGGAGGAGTCTCACAACAAGACACCAGCGCGGCCTCTCCCAGACACCTGTAAGTTAATGAATTCTTACTGAGTGTGGTCATTTGTGGCACAGTAACAGAACACTAAAGCCCCTGACTACACAGAACACGTGACTACTCGAGAAGTCAAGCCCAGGCCTCTGTGGCCCACGGGCCCCAGCAAGCTTCTCTGTTGCTGTCTCATTGCCTGCAGAGTCCAAATTGGACTTGCAATCCAGAGTGTGGGTCAAAAAGACCCAAACTAGGAAAGAGGCTTTGTCAAAGGAGGTAGAAAGGTATCACAGTGGAAGCCCCTGGGTTCATTAACTTGAGCCCCGCTCCCTTACAATGTATGATAAACTCCTATTACAACCCCACTTTGGAGAGAAAAAATCTGAGGTTCGTAGAGCTGGTGCAAATAAACCAAGAACCTACCTCTTAGGACCAGGTGCCCTCCCCTAGTTCCTAGCCTCCCCGATCCTGCCCCTCATCCCTGTCTTTCTCCTCCTCTAGCACCTGCTTTATTCCCAGATGAATGACAAGAAAGCAAATAGGTCACTATCTTTTTCACTTACCTGGCCTGATCCAGCCCTTTCCTCTGAACCAGTGGCCACTAAGTGGAATGATTTGTCCGCATCTGGCCCCTACACAGATGCCTGGAGCTTGTTCCTGGAAACCCACACTCTCCAGCCCAGCCCCCACCTTGCACTGGCATGTGATAGCAAAGCAGTGGCATGCAAGAAATGTGACAAAGAAATGTGACAGAACACAGACAAAGTAGAGGAGAGCTGGATTTTGCTGTTTTTTTATTGTGCAAAGAAACCAGAATAGAAGGGAGAAGCATGAAATGGAGCAGGTACGTTAACATGAGAACACAGCCAATGTAATGGAAGGCAAAGCAGATGGTGCAGAAATGCAATTCATTTTTCTAACCACAGCAGCTGGATGAGAACTGCTGTGGTCTGAACTCGCTTCCTGGGAGCAGGACAGTGGGCTGCAGTATCAAACGTAGGGCCAACACGAAGGGCACAGTGTCCCACTTCCTGTCTCTCTTCTTCTCCCTTTCCTACCTCCCCAAAAGCAAATAAGCAAAGCTGGCGCCTTTGGGGAAAATTCATTCGGACGACCTTGTCATTTCTCCTAGGAGTCACCTTGTTTGACATGGTCCAGCACACGACCTTCTCCCTTGGAACCGACCCTTACTTCAGCCGTAACACACAGGACCACGGGGCTGACCAGACACTCCAAGAGCTGCAGATGGGTATGTGACATGGATTCCTCACCCTCCCCCTACCTTGACCATATCCTAATCTCCCCTGCAGAGCTCAGAGGCCTATCAGCAGGATTCTGAGAGTAAAGAAATATGATGGTTAGGGACAATAATACTTAAATATTCCTCCGGGAATAGCTTCAATAGCACAGAATGATGAGCTACTGTATTGAACAATACTGACAGATGGACAAAAAGCACGGGTTTACGCTAAGACCACAAAGCTATAAGAAAGGGTGGTTATAATGATGAAAGTGATCTTGACGAGAGATGGTGATGGCGGTAGTGGTGACGGTGGTGATGTCGGCGATGATGGTGATAATTATGGTGACAGAAGTGATGGTGATGGTGATGGTGCTGGCGGTGGAAACGGTCTTGGTGGTGATGGTGGTGGTGGTGATGGTCATGGTTGTAGAGATGGTCATGGTGATGATGGT